CAAAAAGGTGCAGGGAAAAGCCATGGTCATACCCTGATGGTCTTCATGCCGATGCTTTTACTAACCCCAGATCTCCCTGGAGCAGCCAGTGTCATTAGAAGCCAATAGTAAGCATGGAGATTCTACAAGATTTCAACTGGACATGCAAATATGTGTCACAGCATTCTATCTAGGTTTAGAGCCTAAATGTAGAATCCCCACACCCCCTACAAAGCCACAAAGTGTACCAGAATATATTTTCATATTTTTCATAGGCTGGCGTTAGAAAATGTAGAACAACAACTCTAAAATGTTAAAAAAAATTTACAGCCAATATTCCAGGAGCCATGCCGCGTTTTATCTAAATTCCACGATGAAGTAACTCACTGCATGTATACATTCATTGACAGTTTCAATGTGATTAAGTGAAAACTAAAGTAGAAAAGACAACTGGCATCAGCCTATACATGTTATCAATTTACATACTTGCTGTCTGAATTCCTTTTGGTTTCACAAAAAGTGAAAGTCATGTAGGCAAGGAGGGAAATGGAAGGAAGCTGTGGTATGTGGGAAAGAACGCTTTCTTGTGGAATTTCATGTTTTCTTCTGTGTTAGGTTATCATTTGACATGAAGTAAATGTTTTAGATCTTTTTGATCGTGAACAATATATAGCGTTGTAGATCCTTGTGGAAGAACAGGACCAATTTATGGCATGTTTTCACAATATTTTCCATAACAAAATGCATTAAGAGAGCACCCAATGTTAGATGGCAACAGGATGAATCACCAAGTGACTTATAAAATCTCCTAGGAGTCCAGCAGTGAGCTTTCATGGAGTTCCCAACTCCGCCTCCGAGATAACTTGTCCTTGAATTGCTGTCTTGTTTAAGTTACGTGAACTCCCAATAATGGATGCCGCAGGGAGGTGCAGTTGAGAAGTTCAATGCAGAATGTAAGTGATCGTATGTGAGAGATATAAGAAGCAGGCAAGTCATTAAAACTGCTTGCTCCTTCTTAAAGCTAGAAACACGTACAATACCATTGCTGACCTCCTTGTGAAAAATGCTAGTTGCCTGGCTGTCTCTAATTTCCATATTTTCTGAGTCATTAAATCAGAGCAAGGATCTGGCCACTAATGGTTGAACTCCTGAGCTACATACTTGTTGTAGGCCAGAGACTCAAGTATTGAAGCCATTGGATCAGCATAACAGCCAAGCAGCTAGCATTTTAATAAGGAGAGGTCAGCAGTGGCAGCCTAACTATATCACACATTGCAAAATGATGTGCTTAGGACTTCAATTGGTGGTGCAATTGGTGCAGCACTAAAAAATGGTGCATGTTCTGGGGGTGGGGGAGAGGTTGTCGGCAGCACATGGTGAAGGCTGGGTGGGGGGTTACGGGGGCGGTTCATGGTGCACACTGTCCCGCCCAGCTCACTGACATCAGTGGTTGCCAGCAGCTAGGAGCGGGACACCAGCCGATGCTCTGGCCGGTAAGATGCCGTCTGAGGCAACAGCTTCAGGCTGCCTCCTTATAGGAACGGCTCTGTGTGCTTACTTTGAATGCCCAATCATGTGTTGATGAAATGAATAAACAGGAATTTGCTTTCACATTATTGGATAACTGAAGTCAATCCTAATATTCTCAACTCCTGGTACGGACTATTTTTGGAGTGGAAAGAAGAGGCGATTGATTAAGATTCTGCGGCTGATAGTCCGTACCAGGAGTATACAATACAGACTGCTGCAGCAAAAAAAACAAGGAAGGAACTATAACAGTTTATTGAACTTCTTCCTATCTCAGCTAAATACGTCAATGAATGCTCATAAAACCTCTTCAAAAGTCAGGTCCAAGTGTGGTCACTTTTAAAGAATGTATTTTGTCTTGTCCCACCATGAACTGATACAGCACATACAGTCACTATTTTATGCTGTTGATGTTAAACTGAATACCAAATGCTTATCAGGTCGTGCATGTAATTATTCATGATGACTATGTCTGCTGAGGATATCAAGTTCTGTGATGAAAACAAACAAGGCTGCTTCTCATTTTCTAAAACCTAATACTTTTTTATAGGATAAAAACAAGGTTTAAAGGGACTCTTTCCTATGCAGGACAATGTAAAAGAGTCACCTAATGGTCATCCCCCTCCTGCCAAGAAGCATGTGCTTACCTTTCCTCTCTCCTGCACTTCTCTGTTCAGACCAGGAAAAGTACAGCCCTGTGTAAGCACCAGGCTGAGTTTTTAGAGCTTACAGAGGGCTGGCTAGGGACTCCTTTCCCACTTTCACGTGACAGTGCTGGGCCAATCACGAGACAGCAGAACTGTCAGATGGGAGTGACTAATATGCTCACCCATATCTGGAAGTGTTGAGTATTTCACTTTTCTCCAAGTGGCAGAATGGAGGGACCCAGGAGTGAGGAAAGGTGAGTACATGCTGTAAGGCAGGGGGTAGTTAAGTAAAATTTTCCTTTGTCCATCCAGGGTCAAAAAGCAACATTTCCACCAGGTATAAAATGTTATTTCACCCAATTATCTGTTTATTAAAAATACTGTTTATTAAAAATGTATTTTCACATAAAATAGTATCATGAATTTGTTTTCAAATGAGCCTCCTGTTATGAACTGCAGCGCTAGGTGAAGAAGGTCAGTACTAGTACAAATCTAGGCTCTACTGCTTTGCATGTGCCCTCAGTCTGAACACTGAAATTATTGCTGCTGGCTGCTCCTTCATGGTCCATTCACAGGTTGGTGTGGGTTCTAGACCATGCTATATTGATTAACTGCAGTACAGTCTGCAGGAAAGTGTAGGACCTTGTCCGGTTGCCTGGCAGGAATGCCTGTATCACAAGAGTGGGTGAACAGAGTGGTAGGAGATCAGTTCATGAATACATATTTTCCCTATGTATATAGCAGCGTGAAGCATACTTCAGTGCAAGCCCACATACCAACTGTAAGGAAGCCTTCATACAGGTTTCCACCTGCACCTCCTATACAAGACTATACACTACTATATGTGCTGGACAAACAACCATTTAGATACATAAAGTTGAGCTCAATACATTAACTATCAGTCAAACTTTTTCCCTTTACCAACCTTGACTCCCATTGACTCTCCAGAGATGACGGTAGCAGTTACTCCATCTTTAGATGGCTTGGGAATGTCAGCACTTTTCAGTTCTTGGTATTCTGGAGGAATCATCTTCTCTGAACTTCTCAGATTGACCCAGAGTTGTAAGCCATGTGCAGGCTCTTGTGTACAAGGCATCTCAGCATGGACAATACCACGACCTGCTGTCATCCACTAAACATATAAAAAGGAAAAAGGAATTGGTACGAAGTTTATTAACAACCCTTTATTTGTTCATGTTATAGCAATTCTTAAAGACCACTTGAAATTTTCGAATGTTATCAATTGGTTCTCTAATACTAAACAGAGATGAATGTATTAAGGGTTATTCCTTTACACATATCATAAATACAAAGCCTATCTGCGTATTATATCAAGAAATGCCTATATACAATTCCCTAATTTCCTTTAAACTAATTATCTCTCGTCTATAGGTATCTTTTAGGATCCGATACACATCAGGTGCCTACAGTCCAATACCAGACAATATTTTTCCAAGACTGGATGGCAATGTCATTAGGTATAAGGTATCTTGGGAAATTAAAACAAATTACAAATTCAGGGTCAGCATGTTTGTGTATGAAATATATGTCTTTACCTGCAAGTCTCCTGGGTCCAGTCTGCCGACATGTCCACAAAAATCTTCATGTGCCATTGAGCCACCACCAAGCAGGTAAGATACCTATATAAAAAAAAAAAATTAACTTCCATAAGAAAACAGTAGAAATGCAAAACAAAAAACAACAAAACCTTTCCATGTCACTTACATTGATTTTCAGATCAAATTTACATTCAGAGACCGGATTTGTTGTGTACATGTATTCCCTTAAGAAATTTGGGATACGTCGTTTTCCTAGAACGCTCAGACAGAATTCTATTTAAATTGTGTACAAAACAATGCGATGATGTCAATCAAAGTAGCAGATCAACAACTGTTATCCTAGTCTGAGCTTAAATACGGTAACCTAGTAAGACTTGTGGCATGCCGACTAGTACATTTTGACATTACACGCAGGGAGATAGCAGGGTTTATTCTCTATGACAAGGCCAGAGGTTTACCGATCTTACAGTACTTCAGAATAAAGCTGCTGCTTAGGTTTTTGTTTTAATCTATACAAGGATATATTTCTATGATGCACAGCCCCGTTGTATGTTATGTAAAGTATTGCACTCCCCTAACAGATATGCTGGGGAAGAAGGACCTGAATGAGGTTGTAGAGTCACATTAATGATTAAAAACAACAATTCAGCCTAATGGCAATGACATAGGCCAGATGCATCAAAAAGATCTGAAAAGTAACATGTCTGTGATGCGGACAGTCACAATCTTAATATATTTTCTGAACACTGACTTCTGATTGGCTGATACAGCCAACACACTGTATGTATTTTTCGTCCAAGCATGGAAACATGTTGATCGATAAAACAGAACAGGTCAAAGCAGTTTATGGAGTGGGGACAGTTTGTGCAAGTCCTATTTGGTCTTGTTTGTACTTTAATTCTATCACAACAAGTCATTAACTCAGAAACAACAGATGTGGGTGGTCTAATCAGGAGGATAGCCTGAGCAACCATAAGTCGTTTGCCGCCTTTTCCTCTGCTAACAAACTCATCTACAATTGCTATTGTTGAAATTTTCCACTAGATGAATACTATTTTTTTTGTGTCTGGGGTCTGAAAAGAAAGGAAATGATAAGTTATACAAAACGTGTTAAACTGTGGAAACTGTGTATAGAATGGGTCTCATGCTTGAGAACCCTCTAAAAGGAGAACTATTCCTTACCTTAATGACTGATTGCTGCTGGCAAGAGAGAGAGTGGTTTTCCTAGACCTAAGAACCATTGTCTTTTTTGGAACACACCCATTTCCAATGTTCCTACTGGGCATCAGGCATTGGAAGAACTAGCAGCACAATTCCCAAAGAACTGTATTGAGGAGGGAGACTGATAAAAGTACCTCCTTTCATAGTCTAAGGCACACATAGACTTGTTAAATAAAAAAATATAAAGCTCAAGTGCAGCAACCTTTAGCAACCAAAACAGAAATGACAGCAAAGTTCGACCAGTGAAAGCTGGATTTCTTGGAAAGTCCGACAAGCAGAAGACAGATTTTGACTTCTTGTTATGGTTTACTCTGCCTACGAATGATCGCTGAACAAGAAACCCGCTATATACCTTTTTTACGTTTCTAAAGAGCACCAGAAACATGAATGCAGCAATCTCATTAGCGGCTATGAACAACTCAAGTAATTCATTTTTAAGGCAATTTTGAAAAACAAAACTATGATTTCTTTAATTACACTGAAAAAATCCAATGGTGGGCACCACACTAAGATAGCAGCAAAACTGCCTAGGTACAGTCAAGGCAAGCTGATACAAAGATTCCAGTGGAAAAGGCACTAGTGGGTCTTGTATTGAAGCGCTTGTATTAAAGGAGAACTATGAGGTGAGTGCTTTTCACTCATCTCATAGTTCTAGCCGACCTGTGACAATGAGACTGTCACAGGTCGGCTCAGTAGATCGGGAGGTGAGCGAACACATACCGGCGTTCGCTCACCTCTCGATCCTTTCACGGCTCTCTGCCGTGACAGGGGAGGGGCTGGATTCCCCCCTCCCCGCCAGCGCTGACTGGCGTAACGTACGGGGGAGGGTGCGGGTACAGCTGGCCCTGCCTCTAGATAGGCAGAGCCAGCTGTCATTCACGCATCTGGGCGGATCCCGGCACAATTGTCGGGATCCGCTTCAGCTGAGGCGCCTCAGTATACCGTGGCGTCTCAGTATACCACAAGCTACAGCTCGCGGTATACTGAGCCTAGGGTGACGGGAGGACACTAGTTTGTGTCCTCCCTTTACCTTAAGGAGAACTATGGGGAAAAGCCTTAACCCCATAGTTCTCCTTTAAGCGCTGCCCAAAATGGTGGCGCTATATAAATCCTGAATAATAATAATAATGATAATATTAATAATAATTGTACTGAAGCAATTTAAATAGATTGATTTATACCTAAACTACCTCAGTACTTGCAGATGCATTGCACCCCCTATCCCCATCGATAAAATAAAAGTTACACATACACCAGTTAGACCTACTACCCCTAATAAAACTGTCCTGCTGCTGGTTAAATTTACACTGCAGCATTTTGTTTTGTTTTGCATGGTACATGTGCCCCATTGCAATGCCCAACTTCCCATGCCTTTTTTGACCGTAGTTTGTCGATTAGCCCTAAACATCTACAGAATGACAAGATTTGCCCCCCATAGACTTCAATGGGATTCACCTCTAATTTTGTGTACTATGAATTGAAAACAAAATTCGCAGAACCCTTAGCAAATTGAACCCCAGCAGACTCAACTATCACTACTGCCATCTGGTTCCAATTGTGCTGGTATGTCAAATACTAGCTGGGGTGGGGGCAATATAATTTTTTTTTTAAATTAAGAGTCATCAATGCATCAGTCACAACATTAGTGCAAACTTTGTAACTGAGCTTATTGCTATTGTCAGAGTACACTCTACAGCATCACAGATTATTGGCATTAGTCTGTTCAAACTAAGCACCACCGGGCATATCACAAGGCACTGGTATAGATGGAACACAGCCTGCACTGTTACAGAGTATCAAAACTCCTGAATGGTTAGTACTGTAAAGTCTATATAAAGCCTTTTTTTTTTTTTTCTTTCTGAGTGATAAACAGGCATCATTAACAAGTAACAAGTTAAGTAGACATGTAAATGTTTTAAAATACATGTACTTCTGTGTTTTTAATGGTATACAGGTATTAGGCTGAGAAGCTGGACTTTTCATGTACCTGACTAGGCAGTGCTGGAGGGGGTAGAAGGCACTTTATGGGGCATTTACATTTTTTTACCTACATTCCTGCAGATGGTGAGGTGTGCTGTCAATATAAAGGGCTGTGGACAGAGCTAGGTATAGCCATTCACTAACTCACTTCACAGGTCCCTGTAAGCTGCAGTATGTATGCATTTGCCATATGGTGTAATAAAAAGAACCTAGGAAAGACACGTCAGCTGAAAGGGCAGGCTTAGAAAACGGCCCGTTAGCCTCAGCCTACCTCTTCTCTCAGTACTGGTTTCCTTTAAAGTTACTGTATGTTAACAGTGCTGCTGAAAGGGCTTAGATATTTACATTTCATGGAGAGGACTTCTTTTCTGGGTTCTCTTTAATTCTGCCAGTCATAAATTAAAAATCTATACATCTGATCACATGGTCACTGTGGAGAATAAACCAACTTTAACTCCAATCCCCCCTCAATCAACAGAAATCAAGTGACTGAGGGTTTTAGTTAGATGAGCAGAACTGGAGGGAGCCTGGATCAGTACTTCAACCCTTCCATTACTCTGTTCTTAGCCATCCTAACTAGACTAATAACATAGCTTTGGTTAGGGTTCAGCTATTTTATTTATGTTTTTTTAGTTTTGGGTAGAGCAGGATGGGTTTGAACCTTTGTTTTTATTGCCATCAGTGTCCCACTAGAGGAGATTTTCCCCCACTTCCCAATGGGTTTCATACAAAACAGGAAGTGAGGGAAAATATGGCTTTCCAATAAAAAAAAAAAGTTCTGACTTGATTTAAATTTTACATTAACAGGTCCACTTTACACAGTAAGAAGATGTTACATGCTGCAGAAAAATCTATTTCTTAGAATGATGGCAATCCTTTTCTAGATTTCTCTTTTTAAATTTCCGTACTTTGAATACATTAATTCTAGTTATTTGATAAAGTACTGACCTCAAGTGGTCATTTTGTAGAATACTTTGAAATGCTTAGGACTAATGGCATAGAAACCCCTTCTATACCGACTTCAGCTGGCATAGGTTACAAACTTTGATGTTTGTTTCCTATAAAATCATATGCAAGATATAACACTGAGAAATGAAATTAGGGATCAATCTAAAAAAAGTATTCATAAACTCTATATATTCGTTGGGCCGCCTCGTGATTCCACCAGATGTTGAAAGGTGATGTGAGGAATCTGACACTGCACTGTTTCCCTTCTGTTGTCCTGTACCAGTCTTGCCACTCTCCGTTCTACCCTAACATTGACTAGTCGCTGACGGCCACAATTTGCACGTCCAGACCCAGATTTACGGCTGACAGTCCAGTCTTTAAACACTTTAACAACAGCTGCTCTTGAACATTTAACGAATTCTGCTGTTTTGCTGATACTCGCTCCATGCGCCAACAATCATCCCACGTTCAAAGACTGTTAAATCGCGTTGTTTACCCCCCTATCTTCAGAAAAAAAATTACTTCTACTGTCGTGGTAAACAACCTGCTTCCCTATTTATAATGGTCTGGCCCTCTAGCAACTTCAGCGCGAAATTATAGCTAATTTGCCTACAAACGTCAGGTGGTCATAATAATCTGGCCACTCAGTGTATATAGGTGGTTTAATCAGCTCCAACATCATTCACTATTAGAGAAACTACCTACAATCCTTCCTGTGAACTTACATTATTTATGGCATTCCCATGCCTCTATCTGTCATCAGCACATGCATGGATTTTCTTTCTATGCATATTATAGATGTGCTTTCAGCTGATGTAGGGAAGGTATTGGGCACAGACAGAGCAATTGTCAGGGTGGTAGGCACTGGACTTAAGATGAGATGCTGGCCTATTGCTAGCAAAGTAGGGATATCTCAAGATATAGCCTGCTTT